TTGCTAAACATGCCGTTTTTGAGAATTTGGTTTGCAACTAGGTTTCAACATCCAATCACGCCATCAGCCCATTGAAAACATTAGGTCACGTCAGCTAGCTTCCTATCCATTTATTTTATTATCCATGTTGTAACCAATAGCGCACAAGTGACCATCTTTTACTGTTTTAGAAAATGGTCAAGATCAAATAGTTTTTTCTTTCACATTCACCAGAGGGGCAACTCTATTCTTGTTTAAACTTTCAGTGATAATATTTAATTCTTTAGTGACTCTATAAATAGGGTCCACTGCACTATGACAAATGAAAAGAAAGGCTCTTTGCAATTAAGTTTCCTAGTATTGATGAATTGAAACACTGCGGGATTGGCTTGGCGACTGTAGTGGCGACTCGTCTACGAATCTTATGAGCATGTGCTGCATCACTTCTTGTTGTTGAGAAAACAGTAGGTGGTCTTTGATTGATGCCGGTGTTAACTTCTCTTGTCCTCGATTAAAGACACTTTCAAATAAACCTGCATGCTTTTCTATCTTATCCAGGAGACCAAGGGTTTTCATCCCTTTACGAAGCTGATCAAGTGCCATTTTGCGCTTACCAATGACTTCAAAACTTGCTATCGACTGAATTATTTTTCTCTTATTTGATATCTAAAATAAAAATCAATTAATAATCTAACTGATGCTGTATATAAGGTCTGACTAAATAGCCAATCATAGAAGGCAATGAAAATACTTTCTTACTATAACATGTCATGCTGCAATTCTTCCTACCCTTACAGTCGAATTGACTTTTTCCTAAATGTTGCGAACTTTGTTCCCAACTTCGTTGTAAAGTTCATATTGAAATTCACAAACTGGACTGTAACCAAAGCCTCTGATTGGACCCCAGTGGCGGAAACTGGGGGGGGGCGATCCCCACCCCTCCCAATAATATTAGCTGCCTAGCTTTCATTTTGAAAAAAGTAATATGTGGGCCAGCCGAATGACGTCAAAAATCACGCTTGTAGGAGCACTTTTACCTTTAGAATCGATTTCTGGCATTTCTAGAGTCATGCAACAGAAACAGCGCATTGTTTTGACGTTTTTACGATTGTTCTACATTATTATGATCTCGCTTAACTTTCAAAGGCCATAAATCGCTACAATGTTGGCAATGACAAACTATCGTGAGGAATTAGTTGATATTGTTTCACTGAATTGAATGGTGGAATTATTGTCTTCATAGCATGCACTGAACCGAAGATATAAACATACAAAGTCATCAGCTTCTAGAAGTTGACATGTGTGAAACTAAAGAGTTAAACCACCTTGCAATTCCATTCACAAAATTTAATGTATTTAATCAGTTAGAATATTTTCTCTGAAATGTCGTAATTAATTAATGTTTTGAAAACCTGAAATTTCTTACAAAATGTGCTCCCAGAATGCTGCAAATGCCATTTCAGGGATCCAAATTTTAAACATTTTCTGGGGGAGCATTCTCCCTATACCCGCCTAGAAATCTCTCGCCTTGGCACTCCCCCCCCCCAATATTTTGCAAAGTTTCCGCCACTGTTGGACCCTGAACTAATCAAATGCATTGTTTGCTAACGGTTTGTGTATATATTACTGTATGAAGTTCTGAACTTCGCAACAAGCTTTGGAACGAAATTTGCAACATTTAGGGAAAAGTTATGTGAAATCAACTGGAAAGAGTAATTTTACGATAACTAGTGTTTGACTAACAAGCTTTAAATTGCCGCAATGATAAATATAACTATATTAGTTACAAATCAGGTTGATCACACATGTATATACGCCTTGACACAAGCCTTGAAATTATCTGGAACTAGACAGAATTAGGGTGGCTCCCTGCAGTTGTTTAGGCATGGTCTTGGGAAATGACATGATCTTGTTGAGTTGAAATTTTATCACGTCAGCAAAAATTTCATTTGACTGTACAAGTTTTGTAGTACAATAACTTTTTTCCTTCGGTCAATTTTTCTGAAATTTTGTATTTTAAAAATAGTCATTGCAATACACTCAATTTTAAAAAATTCTATAAAACAGTTTTTGCGGAACAAATGAATTTATAACCCGCCCTAATTTTTTTATATAATCTTCCACTAGATATTCCCTTTACACCTATGTACAAAATTCCAGAAACTTTGACTGAAGGAAATTTTAATAAATTCATCTTTATTTACCATAGCAAGACACAATTTCCTTCTTTTGAACAATTAATATCAGGGGTGTATATTCTTCTATTACCCC